ATGAAGGGGAAGCATTAGTGAGCACTCTCTGTGTTCCTCCCTGCAGTTTAAAATACTAATTTTTTTGTACTTCATGGGCACTATGCACATATTGATGTCCTGATTATCTTTAATTTCACAGATGTGTATTATCTCCACCAATGCGCATGGGGGCTACTGTATGCATAGTTGTATGGCCAAATCTGATGGCTAGCCTCTTGTTAATAAGCCTCTTGGTCATATGACTAGACCTAGGGCAACAGACTTCCTGTCTTCCTCTGGGCCTCTATTGCAAACATGCTACTGGAAGGACCCGTCAAAGCTTATGTTGTACTAGCATACCCTATTGCAAGTGTTGTGCTTAACATAACTAACACCAGGAGTGGGCCCTTTTCCAAGGAGAAGGGGAGATGCAACAGCTCTCAATAAAGATAGGAATATCAAGCCTTCACCCAGGAGGGAGAAAGACTAGAGGGCTGGGTTGGCGAGTGTCTTGAAGTTTTTTTGTACCTGTCCCACTTATTTCTCCTTACTTTTGAATGGAGGACAGATCAGAATCATAAACGTTTGGACAGCAATGTTTTTAGTGCAATAAGAGAATAAGGAATTGTGACCGGACCAATGGAATGACTACGGATTTGATTTTGGATGGCGTGATTTTAATAACTGTTTTTAAATTGTGTTGTTAACAGGTGGATTTTAATATAAATGTTATTGTATATCGATGTTTTAATTTTATATTTATGTTCAAATGTCATTTTATGTTTTATGTTTAATATGGTTAGGTTTAAATTTATAGTTATATGTTATTGTCTAGCTACAGAGGTCCCTCACTTATCGCAGGGGTTACATTCCAGGACCACCCACAATAAGTGAAAAACTGCGAAGGAGGGATGTCCCCTCCCCTCCTCACCTTTCTCTTCCTCCTCGTCGCCGTTTGGGCCCTGCAATTGAAGAGGCGGCGGAGGTGTTGCGGGGCCCAAGCGGTGGCAAGAGGCCCCGGCAGTGACGAGTAGCAAAAACAGAAAGGTAAAGGGGGCGAGGAAGGAAAAAGACCGCCCCCTTGCCCTCTTTACTTTCATCTCCCTGCTCCTCATTGCCACCTTCTGCGGTAGCACCACCAGCGGCAACGAGGAGCAGGAAGATGAAGGTAAAGGGGGTGAGGAGGGAAAAAGACCGCGCCTTCACCCTCTTTACCTTCGCCTTCCTGCTCCTCGTCGCCGCTGGATCTTCTTGCTGCCAAAAGAGGGTGAGGAGGGAAGAAGAACCGCCCCCTTGCCCTCTTTACCTTTCTCTTCCTCATCGCCACCTGGGCCTCTTGCCACTGCTTAGGCCCCGTGACTGGGGAGGTGGCAGATGCAGCGTGGAGCCCAAGAGGTAGCAAGAGGCACAGGCAGCAACAAGGAGCAAGGCGGCAAAGGTAAAAAGGGCAAGGGGGTGGCTCTTCTTCCCTCTTTGCTACTGTGTTCCCTCATTAAATTTATTTATTTGTTTTTTTAAATGTGAAATAGCAAGTCTGTGGTAAGTGAACCGCAAAGTAACGAGGGAACACTGTATATGTCTTGATTTTCACATATAGGTGCGGCACTGAATTTTGCCATTATTATGTTGGAAAATGCTTTGAGTCCCCTCAGGGAGAAAAGCGGTATATAAATGCAGTAAATAAATAATTAACAATTATTATTAATAATAATAATACTTTATTTGTATACCACCCTATCTCCCCAAGGGGACTCAGGGCGGTTTCCAACATATAAGGCCAAACATTCAATTGCTAGAAAGGAAAATCATACAGACAAATTAAAACAAACATCATAAATAAAATCCTGCTAAAACATACAAAAAAATTAAAAACTAATTTCATTATAGCTCCATCAGATGGATTCAAAATACCAACGGCCAATATTAGAAAATGGACATGGCCAACTATAAAAGGGCTGGGCAAGGGTTAGTGCAACAAGGTATCATAGAGCCGGGGAAGTGGATAACGTGCAGAACAGAGTATTATCTATACTGGCATAGGGAAGGGCCTAGGGACCAATAATTGTCGAAAACCTGCTGGAACATCCAGGTTTTCAGGTCCCTATGGAAGGAGGACAATGTAGGGGCCTGCCTAATCTCTCTGAGGAGGGAGTTCCAAACTCAGGGGCCACCACCAAGAAGGCCCTCTCCCTTGCCCCCACCAACCGTGCTTGTAATGGTGGTAAAAGCAAGAGGAGGGTCCCCGGCAGATCTTAGAGCCGGCGCCCATTCATAGGGGGAGATGTGGGCACGAAGATAGGCAGGGCCCGAACCATATACGGCTTTATAGGTCATAACCTGCACTTTGAATTGAGACCAGCTACTTATTGGCGGCCAGTGGAGCTGTTTTTAATTGGGGCGTTGTGCGCCTGAGGATCATATCAGGCCCTGGGGATTTCATGAGGTGGAGCCTGATGGTGTCAATAAGCATTATGGACTAAGTAACAAATATAGCTGCTTTCTAGTTGAAAATTCAGTGCATTTATAAATTGGAATATGATTTCTATCTCTTAACTTTTGCTAAATGCAGTAAATTTCATAACCAACTAGGATGGGCTTGCCACATTCTATTTCTTCAAATCTGGGCAGACTTTTCTGCACTGCATTCCAAGGAATTTGTATAATATGCTAAGTATGCACTGTAACTGCGGCACTGCTTGTCTTTCTGGAAATATTTATGAGCAAAGAGAGAGAAACACAACACTGTGTGATCACTAAGTGCTTGACCTGGAAGAGGGAGACCCCAGTCAAATTGATCTAATCATGAAGCTTATTTGGTAATATTTGGCATTAGGAAGAGGTAGAGAAGTAAACAGAAACTCCACCCCTTCAGTCTTGTAGCCATCTTTGCTACAAACTCATTTGAATAATTTAGCCAGAACACTCATTAGGCAGGCACAGCACCTGGAGCATTTTCCTGCACTCTCTTTCTCAGAATCATTGGTTTCTGGCCTTCTCCATTCTTCTGTTGTCCCCCTAACTGCCTCATCCCATTCTTCTTTGCCTCATCTCTTTGCCCTGCACTTTGGAGCATCCACTGAGCTCCCTTCCTTCCCTCACTTCCTCTCAACACTTGCCTCAATTCATGCTGTTGTGAGACTACCTACACTCTGAAAAACAATACTACTTTACAGAAGTTTTTGCTACTTTGTAGTGGCTACTGCTATGTTATATCACAGGGGTCTCCAAACTTTGTAAGCCAAGGGGACGGACTATAGTTTGGGGAGAAAAAAACATGAATGAATCCCTACGCACATAGGTATCTTATTTGCAATGCAAAAAAAAAACAAAAAAAAACCAAACAAACATGAAAGAACAATATAATATTTAAAATGAAGAACAAATTTAACCAACATAAACTTACCAGTATTTCAATGGGAAGTGTAGGCTTATTTTTGGCTGATGAGATAGTCAACTTAATTAGGATTGTTGTTGTTTTGTGTTTCTTAAAGTCATTTCAGACATAGGACAACCACAAGTCTGAAAATTAGTTCAAGAGACATAACCACAACAAGACACGATTTCACCCTTCTGGCATCACTTTTCCATATTTTGCTTCTGCCTTTTTTTCTTTATATTCATCACCTTTTGCTGCTTTTGTAATTGTCTATTGCATTCCCTACAGCCATGTAATATTTCACATACCAACCATGTTCCCTAAAGCCACGAAGATGTTTCTTAATGAATACACATATATATATGTACATACACAGAAACACACAAATACATGCTTATACAAACTATCACCGGATTACAAACATACGACTTTCAAACAACTCATTGTTACAAAATGGGGGTGAGAAAACCAGAAGCAAGAGAAACCTACCCCACAGAAAGGAAATTTAATCCCGAAAGAGTTATTAAACCTATCTTGTTTATAACTTGGGTACTGCCTATATTGTCCATGCACATTCACTATGTATGCTCACTTGGAAGTGACATTCATTGAACTTAGTGGAGATATAGTTCTAATGGATATAACTGGACTGCAAATCTGGATTTTGTTGTATACTTTTCATTTGATTTGCTAGCTAGGGCTGCTGGGAGTTGAAAAATCTACAAAATTTCCTGAGCTATAATGCTAGCAAATAATCCAAACCTTTTGGTTCCTGTCTTAGTTTGTGCAGAGTTTGTTATTTGGCAAAGTACAACAGTGCAACCCTAAGCATGTTAATCAGAGGTAAGCTCCCATGAAGCTTAACAGGTCTTAATCCCCAAAACGTCTAGGACGGTAGCCTTTTAAAAGTAACCAACTAAAACTTAAAGATTCCCATTGAAATGGAGAATCGGTGGATGTTCTCCACCCTCACAAAATGTTCTTTTAAAAATTCCTCAAACTGAGTTTAGAAGAAATAAAGTGGTGGAAGACACAGAAGGAAACGGGGAAGAGGGGTGAAAATGAAATGTTTGTCCACGGAGTAAGCTCTGTGTATTATAATGCTTTCTATTAGGGTTGATTTTTACTACTGCATTAGGTTGGTAAATGCTTGAAGAGTCCCAATTCTCTTTGTACCTGAATATAAACAGATCCCACTAATTCACAAACATGAACTCACAACACTTTCTAAATTCCAAAAAGGAGAACCTTGGCTGCTTGGGTTAAAAACAACAACATATTATCCACCTTTCTCTTTGTGTATGTCTTTCTCCACAGCAGGAGAACTGGACCATACATCTGACCTCTTCAAAGAACCTCTGCTGCTTGAAAACTCTACCTTCAGTACACACAGAATCCTAGAGTTGGAAGAGACCACATGGGCCATCTAGTCCAACCCCCTTCTGCCATGCAAGAAAAGCACAAACAAAGCACCTCCGACAGAAGGCAATCCAGCCAGTATTTAAAAGCCTCCAAGGAAGGAGCCACCGCAAAGCGAAGTGCTTTACTACAAACGCTGGACAGAAAACATACCATGAAATGCCATATTCTAGTTGCAAAAGTTTCAGCACCCTATTTATCTAAAAACTGAGCAAAAACAAAAAGTAGTCACAAGGGTACTTACTGTGCAAGTAATCTGCCAGATCCCCACCATTGCAGTACTAAAGGGGGGAGAGAATAAGTCCAAACATGAATCAGTTAAATATATCTGTATTTCATGTTAAGGAACAGAACAAGCAAAGTTACATTTCAATTGGGGTACCTGTGAAGAAAGTGTTAAAACGGATTTATGTCCTGTCTGAACAAATACATTTCACTATTTGAGCAATTAAAAAGCAAGGTTATCTATTTTACAGGTGGGGAAGAGCTGCCTTTTAAGACTTAAGGAAATCAGACTGGATGTATATCAGCAAGGTAATTGGCAGATGCACTGAATTACAGTTGGCCCTCCATATTTGAGAGTTTATTTCATGGATTGGTTTATTCAAGAGTTAGTAGCTGCCACTTACCTAGAGCGACCTCCTCCTCTCCCCTCTATCTCCTGTCCCACCAGCAGCACCAGCCACATTTGCACTCCATCAATCCCCTCATCCCACTCCTCTTCCTCCCAATCTGCTGTCTTTAAAAAAAGCCAGCTAGATTTGAAACTCCTCTCCAACCCATTGAGCTCCTCACCCCACCCTACTCCTCTTCCTCCCACTCCTTTCAATCTGCTGTTCCTTCCAATAGCACCAGTCAGATTTTAAATCCCTTCTCAACCCACTGATCTCATGTTAGCCCCTCTCTTGAGCTTCCAAAACAGTCAGCCAGATTTGAAACCACTTCCAGCACATCATCCTCTATTGCACTGTTGGAAGAATCTTAGGCACCTTCTACACTGCCATACAAAATCCAGATTATCTGCTTTGAACGGAATTATATGGCACTGTAGACTCATATAATCAAGTTCAAAGTGGATAATCTGGATTATCTGATTTGATAATATGGATTATATGGCAGTGTAGAAGGGGCCTTACATCAACTGCAAAACTCTCAGCATAATCTACCTCCTAAAAGTAACCAAGACCCTATTATCCTAGAATAATTGATAATATTTCATAATTGCTCACCTCCATCACCAAGTAAACCGAGTTGGCCAGCTCCTAAAAAATAAAAAAGATTTTTTTCCAGTCAGTTAAAACTGTCAAACAACTGAGGAAAAAGGAAGGATGTGCAGACAGAAGGTGCTTCTATAAGTTCTCAAAATATGGCAGGCTCATGTGGGAAAACAAAGTCCTTCAGGTAACCCGGACCTGAGTTTTGTAGGGTTTTTGTGATCATAACCAACTCTTTGAATTGAGCCAAAAAAATGCACCAACATCCAGTGAAGCTGCTGAAACTAAGAAGCTGTGTCCCTCCTTTAATACAGTCCTAGGCCTCTTCCACACAGCTGAATAAAATCCCACATTTTCTTCTTTGAATGGGAATATATGGCAGTGTGGACTCGGATAACCCAGTTCAAAGCAGATATTGTGGGATTTTCTGCCTTGATATTCTGAGTTATATGGCTATGTGGAAGGGCCCCTAGTTAACAATCTAGCTGCAACTCTTTGGAAGAGCTGATGTTTTCCACTCTTTCAAGGCTGCACTGCACAATGTGTATGACAGTAATCCAAACAGGATGTACCAGAGGGCGCTTCCAGACAGCGCCAAATCACAGGATTTCTAAAAGGGACAAAAAAGCCAGGACCTGAGAGACGGTTCCCACACAGACCTGCCAATCCTGGGATTGCTTCCCTAGCTGTCCTCATTGGCCTCTGTCTCGGGATAAAATGGAGGGAAGATAGGGGGCATCCGCCGGAAGTTTTTATGTATACGATTATGCGCTGATTCATATATGCGGATATGCACACATCCTAATAGAATGAATACAAGCATATTTGCATGTGCACATATACAGATCAGCGCATAATTGAGGGAATAAAAAACTTTTGCCGGATTTCTCCCTTCCCCTAATTATTTATTAAATCTCTATTTACAGTGTTACAATAATTAAAGAGTTTCAGAGAGTTCTAATGGTTTTCCATTCGTGCTTCCTGTCAATCAGCTGTGTGTCCCTTTGACAACCCAATCAGTTGATCAGCTGTTTCGGGCTTTTTAAAAGGGATGGACATCAGCTAGAGAAGTCTCCACAGGGGAGAGGGAAGGAAAACATGTGTTTTCTGGCATGTAGGGTCACACAGACATGAGAAAATACACATCTTTCAGTCAGAAACGGGATAAAAGGGGACTTTTTTCTCCCCCAGCGTCTATCCTTTGTAGCGAATCATCACGAGTTTTCTAGTTATGTCATCTAGCCATCCCCCATTTTGAAATGGGAGTTCTCGAGATTAAGGTACTATGTGGATGGGCACAGCTGGGGCACAAGCCTGGTCCTGGTAACTGCAGAAACCTGAGCATTCAGACTCAAGGCTGAACCCAGGAGTACACACAAGGTGCAAACCTATGTCTTCACGGGGAGTGTAAAGGCATCCAGCACAGGCTGCATCCCTATTCCCTGATCTGCCTTCTGACTGACCAGCAAAGCTTTTGCCTTGTCTAGATTAAGCTTCCATTTGTTTGCCCTCACCCAGTCACTACTGATGACAGACACAGATTTAGAGCTAACACAAGCTTACTTGAATTGAGGCAGAAATGAATAATAAGAGCTGAATACCTCTCATCCAAACCACAGGGATTTAATGGAGATAAAATAAAAGGGTAAGCTCATAAATCTCATTAATGAACTTTTCTGCATAGCACATTGATTCTTTTTATGGTCCTGTAATGTTTTGTAATGATAGTTGAGTTGTTTTGCTTTTTGTTTGTGTGTCATTATTTATTCCATTTAATATGGAGTTCCTTTAAAAACAACCTTGTTTCCCAAGTTGCTTTGAGTGCCTTTGGGTAGGAAAGCAGCATAGAAAATGCCAAGATAGAAAATGAACTAGCCAAATAAACTGTACAAATCTATGGAATTCATCATTCATCATATTCTAGTTGAAATATACATTACACAGCAATATTCTTATCAAGAATAGATGGGAGCTTGCAGCTATCTGGATGTTCTCTCCTTTGAAGGCACCTGGTTCACGAAAACATTTATACCAATATGCCCTATGCAATGCAAGAGCGTGTAGAAAAGTATGGATTTTGCTTCTATGAGGGGTTAAACCATATCATAGATTTATAGGTGACAACATAGTCATTGCACCAAACCTCCCTTACTTTCTTTTCTTTTTCAAGCTTCAGGACTGAAAATGTACATCATGACCAACTGTGACTGCAATCTTCGAAAATCAAGCAGGGCAGCTTTGGACAGACAGTATACAATAGTTTTCATCTAAGTTGCAAAATGGTTTCTGAATGGGATATTTTTATAATGAAAACACTGACGGTGCATACGAAAACAGCCACTGAACAACACTGGCAGCGTAACCAGAGATCCACTGTTGCATTCAAGAACACAACCACATGCCAGTTTCCAATTACTCTTGGGAAATAGCCATCAAGTCATGCCACTGAAAGAATTCTCAGCAATGTTGCCACTGGACCCAGAAGGAAGTTTTGGAGCATAGCAGAAATGGTTCATGTCACTACCTCTTCTCTGATAATGGTCTGAGAAATATAAAACTCGGAAGAATGACTGACAAACAGTTAAATGGCAATCTCCCCATTTTTAAAATATGAAAATGCACACACATACACAGACTGATATTTTTGAATGGTAATCGGTTGTCTCAGGAAACTGGTCTTGCTATTATTTTCCAGCATAATAAAAATGATTCCAAATAAAAAAATAAAATTGAGGGAGGTGGCAAAATCAGAGCTTAGAAAATTCGAAGTCTGTAACTCACAGAACCCTGATCCAGCACAGCCACCATATCAGACTAGGAATTTTAGGTGTCAAAAGCAACTTTTCACAGTTCTAGGTAGAATAAAGAATTTTACTTCAGGCTGTGGCAAAAATGCATCCATTGACTTTATTAAAACAGTGTGCCATGTCTTTCCTTAAAGGAGCTCAAACGTGGCTCAGATGTGACCCTCAGTCAATCCTAACATGAACTCTGTAAAGTCAAGAAGGGTGAGAGGAGGTTTCATTCAGGACCTTATCCAGTGCATACCATGTTTGTCTTTCCTACTAAGATAGGCTGTAAGCAGCTGCCTAGTCAGAACTCTAAACTGGCTCTCATATGTCTGAGTTTCTCGTTATCTGTAAAAACAAACCAGATAGCTCTGCCAGTAGAAAACTAGCCAATAGGGAATATGCTGGGCTCAAAAATAAGTCTCCCACATAAGAATGGGTTGATTCCTGTATAAAAATGCAATAACCCTATCATAAGTACTCCATTGCTTAGACATAAAATTGCATACCATTTTCCTATTCAACCTGATTGGTTAGCTTTTTAAAAGTAATAATGTATAAAACAAGTTAGTTGTTCAACATTCTAAAAATAATGATTAGCTTTCAACACCATGATGGATAATGGAAACCAACTGGGTTTTTTTTTTATTTAAAGAACCTTTCTTAGTTCTACCCAAGTGTCCTTCCTCTATGGGTCCCTGAAACTGGGAGCACAATAGGCAGAAGGCTTTGCATCCCTATTTGGTGACTAAACAGGGACAATGTACCCTGGTATCAGGGCTTTAAAAAGCTAACGTTTTGAATCAAAACTCCCAGATTCCTCCAGCCAGCATAGCCACTGAGAGAGTTTGGGAATTGTGATCCAAAAGAGATTATTTTCCAAGTTCCAAGTAAGTATATACTACCTGATCCTGAAAAAGTTGTTTTCCATGAGACAAGCTTCCTCTTTTGTTGCCCCTCATTCTGTCCCCAAATAAATTCAGATTCGCACAGTAAGTCTATTTGGAATAAGCTTTGATAAGTCCTAAAAGTATCATCCTGATCTTTCAACATGTACAATTTCACTTGGTCTTCTACACTGTGCTGACCTCATTAGCACTAGTTAATTCACAACTGCATAGTAACTGGGGCATCAATTTTCAAGGCTTTTCAGATGGAAACCATTCTAGTTCACAATGGAGTCTGAAAGGGGAAAAAACAAAAGGTAGTATGCCTACATAGCCCATACTTTCCTCTTGGCTCAAAACTATTTACTAGCCTCAAAATCCAAAAGGCACACTACATACAGTGATACCTTAGTTAGATTTGATCAAAATACCAGAAACATTCAAAGCTTGGGTCTTTTTTATTAATCTCACTACAGAGATAACCCACCTACTCTGGATGTTCTTTTTCCATAACGAATCAACCTAGATATCCATCATTTCTATTATTGCCTGGGCGGGATGGGAAGGACACAACATTCCTGTTAAAACAATTGATTACTCAATTTGAAATTCAGAACACCAAACTATTAGGAGGGCACCAGGACACCTATCCTTGGTTCAACCACTTTTAACTCCTCAGTGTGCAGAAATCAGCTGTGCTGCTACTGTGAATTAAGGGGGAAAGGATCAGTTTAAATGAGATAATAACTTAAAAGGCAACTAGGTGCCCCCTGATGCTAAGGGACTACAGTGCCAATGACCCTCAAACTAAGTTCATGGGACATGATCAAAGCTGCATTCAGAATCACCAAGAGCCATTTCACAATATACAACTATAGTGATGGCTGGGCTTTAACTACAATTGAAATATCCTATAGAATTCTTAGATTTACAGTTTTGGAATGAGAATTTTGAATTCTCAGTCAGAGAAATTCACCAAGCTACAAATTCTAGTATTCCAGGTCAGATACAGTGAAGTTATAATTGTGTGGTGTAGCTGAATTAAGTTGCCTACCCATGTAATCATGGTATTTTCAGTGCAACAGCTATTTTCTTTTAAACTAGGCTGCAATGTATTTCTTGGGTTTATATCCCAATTTTTTTCAAAAAAGGAAACTCAAAAGATAATTTAAAACTATCTGTACAATTACATAACTATAGTAAAATCTTCATCATGGTCTGGCTGTACGTTGGTTCGAAAATTACCTCTACCAGTTCTTTGAAAACACTTGGATGTGATTCATTTGACCCTGGAGACTTGAACTTGTATGAAGTAACCAAGTATTCCCATATTTACTCTTTATCTATCCTGTGCTGCATTTCCCCTACAGCA